AGCGCAGCCCAACCCAACCCCGGCCCCAAACGCAGGCCCAACCCCAGCCCTACCTTAGAGCCAGCCCAGTTCAGTACCTGCCCCACCTCAGCTCTGACCCCTCCCCAGGTCACAGAGCTCCAGATCCAGAATTTTCTCTTTGACATGCTCTTTCTGAGCATCACTCCGATTCCCTAACAGGTACTTCACTCTAACCTCCAATTCCCTTGTCAGTTCTCACATCCCAACCATCCCCACCTCCCAGCTGGACCTCTCCACCATCCCTTCCTTCAGACACCCCAAACCCTGCAATTTGGAAACTTATTCTACCTTCCAGGTCTGGAATATATGTCTCCTGACCCCTGGACCCACGTATTTCCAGAGCCCTCTGGTGCCACCCTACTCAGGCCTAACCACTCACACACATCTTGGACTTGCACCCCTCCTTCTGGCCTCCAACCCTAGTGAACCCCCAAAGCCTCCATTTAGCTCTTGTGTCTGAAAGCTTTAAACACCCCACACCCAAATTCTCTTCTTCAGAATTCAAAGCTGTCTAATTTACACAGTCCCAATCTCCTCCCAGGAGACTCAGAGACAAATACCCTCTCACAGGCTATTTGACAATAACCCTGGTGTCTCATACATTTTCCCAGAACCCAACATTCTTTACTTCTGATTTGAATCCAGAATCCTAACCTCAGCTGGGAACAGCCACCTTCCTGTGCCGCCTTCACCTTAGGTTTCCCCTGACGTGAATGCACTTTTTTCATGTCTCATCCCACTCCTATGGCTCTCTGCTCCCTCTCAGTTCTCCTGATGGCCTCCTGTTTTCCTTTCTTTGCTGGCTAATTTCAGACCAGAGCACTCTCAGGGTGGGGTTCGTTTAATGAGAAAGATGGAGATGGGGACCCTTCTCGTTGACCTTCCTAGGAAGACAGAGGCACCATGGTCCTGTCCAGCCACACCCCTTTCTTCCTGTAGAGAAGGGAGGAGACTTGTTTACATGCAGAAAAGTCTGTCCAGGCTGCACTGGAGTAACAGAGCCAGAATCATATAATAATAATTTGAGGAGAAACGTCCTTATTTCCCCACTGGGAAATAATGTGGCTTCAGGATTTTGGTGGGGGAAGGGTCACCAACTAGCCTCCATGGTCTTCTAAGAGACAAGTGACAGGACTTGCAGGGCAGGTCCATTCCAAAGGCTTGTGAGCTAGCATTAGACAGCTACCTCCTTCCAGAGCATTCCTTGGTGTGCTAAGGTAGGGGGACTTTGAGAAAATGTCCATGAAGGATCTAGGCCATTTGAGTAAGGGTACATCTTCCATCCTTTGGGGTGAGGTTATGTTAAAGTTCCACAAGGACAAGTTCATATCATCCCGACACCTTACAGTGCAGCCCAACTGCCTGTCTATATTCCTGCCCATCCATTTATGGCATTTTTTTCTAGACATTGAACTCAGTGGGTAAGCATAAAACTAATCTTTGTAGGTGATCTGTAGAATAAAGAAAGTGTGTGGAATAACAGCGATTCCCACTTAAACACCAAGTGCTCAGAGTCTCTGGGCTGTTCCCTCATTCTCTGTCTCTCACTAAGTTCTGGTTCCTTCTGTTCCTCCCTATACTCATTTGCCCTTAAGTCATGCTTCTCTGTACTTCCACCTTTTCATTCTTTCACCTTCTAACCCCAGCAATCTACACGGGTTCTTTGTGGTAGGAAAGACCTGGAATCCTAAGCCTTTCATAAAGCCTCTTCCAGTCTAAGGTCAGATGTTATGGCTCAGGGACAGAATGGATAAGTGTGAGGCAGGGTTATGTGATTTGATCCCTAAACAACCTACACCTCTCCAAGGAAAGTGTGGCCATGTGAGATATAGAGGCAGTTTGGAGGGTCTCCAAGTCAACAGCTCTCTCTCCCCAGCAACCATGATATCTAAGTATCACAGTGATTCATTTTTATTTTCATGACTGAGTATTGAGGGAACAGCCACCAAGCTTTGAAAACAACCATAGCCTGGGAATTCAAGATCCCTAACCCTGACCTGTTACTGATAAAATCTCGGGCTTCAGTTACTCTACTGATATGAAAAGCCTTATCTAAGAGTTCTTGATAAACAGTGGGTAATCCATCCGTTGTAAGCAGGCAGCTCCACGGAAGATTCCACTAAAAAAACACGAAATGAAACATTTCTCATTTGCCTTTTTAGTTAGCTATCTGAGCAGAAAACATCACCAGCTCCTAATGGCTTCCCACATGCATGTGCCCTTCCTTCAGCCCTTCTCCTTCCTCTACTCAAGAGGTTCGTTTTGAAAATATAGATCTTATCATGTCACAACCACAGTGAAAATTCTTTAGTGCCTCTCTACTGCTCTTAGGAAAAAGCATAAATTTATTGAGGTCTCTAAGGCTTTATGTAACTCAATCCATCCCTAGCCACTCTGCTTGAATTCCCAAGTCTTTAGCCATACTGTTTTTCTCTCCATCTCTCCAACACATCACATTTTGGCTCAGTTTTTACTCTTTTGACCTGAAATAACCACACCCCTCTTCTCAGCTGGTTCTAAAAGACTTACTATTCTTGTTCTTGAAAACTCAATGTCTTCTATTTTATCATCATTATTATTTGCTGAGGTTTGAACCTAAGGTCTCATGTATGCTAGGCAAGAACTCTGCCACTGAGTTACATCCCCACCCTCAGTGTCTTCTTGTAGATAGTCCTCAGTCCTTGGAGACAGACTCGGGTGCTCCTCATGACATCCAATCTCCAAGAACTCCTCTCCAACTCTAACCTATCACAATGCCCAACCAAATAAGTAAGTATTGGATATTTTCTGATGAATGAATTCTCAGTGAATATTGGAAAGAAAGATACCTACTTCGGTGGTTTCTAGAAGACTGCAGATTCTGAAGCTGAACACAGTGGGATAGTAGGTCCTACTCTTTAGCTCAACCTAGACTTATTATCTTCCCCAATAACTAGACTTCTTTTAGAGGAGTTCAGGCTGGGTCACAAATAACCCTTTATGGGCTGTCTTGACAGACTGAGGTCCTTGAATAGGATGAGGGAGTTTCTGGAATCTCCTCCTTACAGGAAGCTCTCAACCTGGTTTCTCCTACTTACAGGAAGCCTCAACAAGGCTCAAATCAAATCCATTTCCCAACTTCAAACTTAGGGAGGGAAGTGTTGGGAAGTAGTTAACCTTCACTCCTTCATGTTCCTCTTTTTTTTCTGCCACTTGGAACTGGATTGGAAAGGAATTGAGACCGATCCTAGGAGACTATGAGTCCATGTCTAAAATAGATAGGCGTTGTGGGGGCAGGTGGTTCATTGAAGAAGGCAAAGCTGCTTAGGGCGGTTTAACCCTGATAGGACTTAGGGATGGACTGGGGAGGGAAGCTTTGGGATCGAATGAGCAAAAAACTGGATGTGTGGGTACAGATGTTTCTTGGACAGAAGGCCAGGAGAAAATGAGAGAAAGCCTAAACTTGGGACATAGGTCCCCAAGCACATGAAGACTCCTATCACAGAACACTTCACAGGGCAGTATTCATGTTTACAGAGTAGTGACCCTAGGTTTGTTGACTTGTTTGGATCTTACCGAGAAGAATGTTGAAGGGTTTCAGAAAACTCCCTGAGCCTGGCTCTTCCTCCCCAGGCTGTGCCTTCCTCACCTACTGCGCACGGGACTCTGCTCTCAAGGCCCAGAGTGCACTGCACGAGCAGAAGACTCTGCCAGGGGTAAGTCAACCAAGGTTGAGGGTGGGATGGGGGGGACCTCAAGCTTGGGACAATGCTCCGCATGTATGCCAAAGCAGCATAAAGGGTTAAGTTGGCACCAGCAGCTAGAAACAGGGTCATCTACCCAGGAAAGGGTTTATGTGTTCCTTGAACAAGTCAAGTCCCATGTTACACTCAATCTTCTGGCTCAAAGAAACGGGCTCAAGACACTTGAGCCAAGTGTTCCAACCTATGTTTTTACAAGAGACTTCAGTGATGTGAGTTAAGTTAGGATTTTTCCACTTTGGCTAAAATCATGGCTTCAGGGGTTACTTATCACTGTTGTAAGCATATGTGTAGTAAAGGAGGGGAGAGACTCTGCTGAGTCAGGATCCTGTCTTCTCCAATCTTGTGGTCCTGGATGGTGCTTTCCTGTGGTTTTCTTCCTGTAATACATTTGGAGTACCTTGTCTCACCCAAATCGTCTTCTCTCCATATTATAAAACATAGCTAATGTTAAAAGAGTTTTTTCTTTTTGGTTTGGTTATATAGTCACCCAGGATTATATGATCTGATCTCAACTAATGGATGGTCACAGGTAAAAGAAACTTGGAACCAACCATTCATGTAGTAGGATCTAGCATGGGTTGTCAAGAGGAAAACATACTTTCCAACCTCATTTTCTCCTATCTGAGTGTTGTGTCTAAAAAAAGAGCAATATTCAAATGTCACGAGTAGGAAAAGTCTGGGACAATGTCCATTTTAGACTTAAGGAGGTTATTGGCTTTTAGAAAGAGACCAGGATAGAATAAGGGCACAAAGGCACCAAAAATATTATGAGATATGTTCAAAGGAATCGCACATATATATTTTTACATATATATGGAGAAATAAAGAACTTAATGAGCTTTTAATATGAGCACATCATAACGTGATAATTAAGAATACTTGGTTTCCTATCTTTCAGACTTAGATTTAAGCTCACCGCTGTCACTTACCACTTCTCTGCCTCCTTCCACTCCTGCTTCAGTTGTCACCCCTGTGGGGAGTGGGCTGCACTAACAATGTAACTCCTTGGCTATAGTAAGAAAGTCCCAGTAAATTCGACTTTTGCCTTAAGATCCTGACAAAGGACTTGGTTTTCTGTACATGGTCCCAGATATCAAGAGCAAGATCGATGAGAATAAGAAACAGGTACCCATTTCAGCTTTGTTCTATGAATTGGAACTTTGCAGTCACTCAACAACTCTGTGACTCTGGCCAAGTTTAAAACCTGAGTTTTTCTGGGCACACCTTTAATCCCAGCTCTTCAGAGGCAGAGGCAGAGGCAGGCAGAGTTCTTTGAGTCTGAGATCAACCTGATCTATATAGTGCGTTCCAGGACAACCAGGGCTACATAGTGAGACTCTGTCTCAAAAATACGATAAAACCCGAGTTTCTTCATCTATAAGACCGAATGTGTGGGCAGATGGGCTAAGTCATGAGAAGTACCGAGCACAGCAGAAAGTAAGCCTGCAGTGTGGCTTAGCTGGTGGTAGTACTAGCAGTAACTGAAACAGTAACATTAGTAGGAGCAGTCGTAGAAAGCATCATTCATCTAACCGTGGGAGCAAACGATTCCTGCTGCTAGCACAGGCATCGAGACAAGCTGGAACACCCATGCAAGAAACAGTGCGGTAAAAATTCAGAGCTGGAAGAAACAGGTGGGTGTGAAGCAGATGGGCCCAATGTGGGGGCAGGGGGAGAGGACTCAAGGGAGTCTGGGCCAGGCTGAGAGCAGGATCCCACCAAGGACTACAGCTGAAGGGGAAACAAGTAGGGGGGGGGGGTTGGAGATTTGGACTTTACCCTGAGAAAATTAAGATGAACTTGGGAGAAAAAGTTTCTGCAGAAGAGGTGAACTGTACCTGTCGGGTTTCATAAGAATGGGTGTTCCCGAGAGAACTGAAGGAATTCTAAGGGAGAAAAGCAACATAGTAGTAAGCAACAGTTATCAGCACCAGTATTCATGGTATTTTACGTGTTCCAAGTCATTTAATACAAAGAAGGTATCGTTACTGGGTTCTGCCCCGTGTCTCCCACTCCACACCATCTAACTGATGAGGAGACTGAGTCTCATAATGAGCTGCCCAAGTTCATATTTGAGAAGTTCTGGTCATTGAGCTCTGTTAGTCTAGTCATTTAATTGCTCCACTATTACATGAGCTAACTTGGTAGCAGAAGGGGCTTAGCTTACGCCTTAGTTTCTGAAGAGTGTGGCAGTTGAGGACTTGTGCCTCCTCCCACCCTTCCATCTGCAGACCTTCCTTGTGGCCTGCTTTCCTCTGCTACTGCCAGGATTGGCTTTATTCGCCCTTCTTAACTTAACGAAGTGAAAATTAATATTTAATTATCCTCTTAAATGAAAATCAATGGCACTGTTGGCTAGCCCCGGCAACAGCCAGGCCATCAATCTTTCCTCTGAGCTTGCCAGGGGCAGCAGCAACTTTCACCAGAGAGGACCGGGCACCCAGCCTTCGGTAGGCACTGGGTCCTGGGCGTAGCCGCCACCTGCTGGAGAATCAGGGATAATACTTCTGGCTGCGTTTTTGCAGGACTCTTGCAGGACTGTAAAGGGAAGGAAGCCTGTAAAGACTGAGTGAACCCCCAAAAGAAAGCCTGAATCTTTACGGGAAACAGCACAGTTTGTTCTGGAGTGAAACCCCCCTCCCCAGATCCTCTCCATTTACCCACTGCCAGTCTCTACCACCTATTGAAGCTTAGCTCCGTACTCAGAACTGCGACCATCTGCCACCTGGCTCCTAATTGCCTACAAAGCTACTGCTCTTTCTTGGAGCCTCACTCTAGTTCTAGAATCAACCTGAAGAGAATGAAGCCGGTTTTGACCTCACCTCTGGGATTAGGAGGGTGTCCCTTATTGGTCTATCTCCCTACCCATGACCTCCCTTCTTTGAGGGAACCTACCCCTTTAGACACTGTGAAGGAGACAGATACAACCAAGTTGAGGAATGTATCTGCTTGCACAAGTTGTGTCCTGTGCAGAACAGCTTGGGAGGAGAGAGAAAATAGAATTTAAATTCTATTACATTCCATAGACCAAGCCATGCCCTCAAGAAGCTCCCCGCTCAGAAGTAATGCCTTGCACTCCATTGGAGTTATACCTGGACATGTACAAGAGGCCTCAGGAGTAGGGGGAAAGGACGGTGCTACCAGATGCTTTCTTCACATCTGAGGGTCTGGAAACCTAAACACCAAAGACCTATCCTGAAATTCTGAGGTTAATATGAGAACTGACAGAACGATGTCTCCCAGCAAAGATGGCGGTGGCTGTAAGTGGGTGGGGGTGCTGTGCATGCTGGGTAGAGGAGACGGGACACGGGATTTGCCAGTCAGTCGTGGGTGGCTTTAAGAAGAGTTAGGGATGAAGTTTTGAAGATTACTCTGGCTACGGCACGAAGACTGAACTGAAAAGGGAGCAATAGTGGAGGCAAGGTGGCCCTGCAGGACAACATCGCTTCTGAGTAGGTCAGTGGTGGAGTGTGCTGCTCTGGAGCTGGGGTTGTGCAGGAATGGAGAGGAAAAGGTGGGTTTATGGTGCGCAGGCGGACCCTAGAGCTCATGGGACTGATAGTGAGCTGGGTTAGAAGAAGTGTGATAAACTGAACAGTGGTGGTGCACGCCTTTAATTCCAGCACTCGGGAGGCAGAGGCAGGTGAATCTCTTAAGTTTGAGACCAGCTTGGTCTACAGGGCAAGTTCCAGGATAGCTAGGGTTGTTACACAAAGAAACTCTGTCATGAAAAACAAAAAACAAATGAAACAAAATGAAAAAAAAAAGAAATGAAAAGAAGAAGTGTGGTAGAACCAAGTCCTGAAAATGATGGTGACCTCTCCTAGACTCACCAACAGTCCTTCTCAGGGGAATACTGATAAAACTCCCTTCCTGTAGGAAGGGGATGCTGAGTGAGGGATAGGAGTCAGGACATGGTGATGAATAGCCCAAAGACAGGACTTGTGGATAAGTTTATCCGAGAAGTGGGATACTCCTTGCTCCCCTTCTGCTTACTGGGTCAAGAGAACAGGGTAGCTTCTCTCACCCCGTTTCCTGAAGTAGGTTGTTCTCTTCTCTCCGATATTCTTCACCTTCACGGTCCTGACACAGACACTGGCCTGGGAAACTCTTTAGGAGAACAAGCGAGTGAAGGCTCACCTGCAATCTCATGACAAGTTCATGGTTGAGGGATCAATGCCCCCATTTCCTTAGTGCACCCCAGACCCTTCCCCCTGCTTATTGGCAGGACTAAGACAGGTAGGGTTGCCCAGTAGCTCTCATGGGCAGTGTTCTCCTCCAGCCATGGTAGCATGCTAAACCTCAGGTGTTCTCCGTAATCCTATCTGCCTGTGGGGCTGAGGCTCGGAGTCTGGGAAGCAATACTCTGCCAATTCCTGAGCTGTAAACCTGAGAGTCAAGCCACGTGCCCTCCTTTCCCTCGGCCCCACCCTCAACAGAACTATGGTCTAGTCCATTTGTCCCGAACATCTTTTGGTCTGTCCATTTCCTTCCCCAATGGTCCCGGTCACTCTCACCTCCCACCCACATCACTGACCTTCCTGCCTCTTCTCACTCCCTTCGCCACCCTCTCTCCGCACAGCGACAACCCAGGAGATGCTTTCTAAGACGAAACAGACCAGATCATCAGCTGCCCTCCTCTCAAGATCCCTCCCTGGTCTGGGTCCTTTCAGCATTTGATATATCCGTGTCAAAATCCTTGACATGCGCCGGGCGGTGGTGGCTCATGCCTTTAATTCCAGTACTCAGGAGGCAGAGGCAGGCAGATCTTTGTGAATTTGAGGCCAGCCTGGTCTACAAGAGCTAATTCCAGGACAGGCTCCAAAGCTACAGAGAAATCCTGTCTCGAACCCCCCCCCCAAAAAAAAACTCCTTGACATGCTTCTTACAGCCTGCCTCTCGATTTCACCCCATTTTACTAAAACAAAATAAAAACGAAAGCAAAAAATTAAAAAGCTAAAAAGACACAGAGGCACACCAAAAGACAAAATCTGTCCTATCTAGTATACCTACTAAGACCCGGCTCTTGTTATTTCCACCATAATCACTGAAGCATAAGGCCGTGATCCCCACCCCCTTTTATGAGTGAGGAGAGGCTCAGAGACCATAAGCAGTTGTCAGTGATGTAACCAGGACTGAAGTTCACATCTATACCATGAGCAGTTTGTCTTCAGGAGTTGGAGCCCTTGCTCTTTCAGGCTTGATTCTCCATCTCTACTCTTGCAGTCTAGAATGCTCACCTGCCTGCCCTGCCTCTCCCATTATCTCTACCCACTCTGACCAACAAGGCCAAGGTCCAACACTGTTTCTTCATGGATTGTTCTGTGTCAGCCTCTCCAGCTGCAGACAGCCTCACTAATAGCTCTTCGCCTTGCATTGTCTCCAAGGCCCTGGTACCTCTGTGTCTCACTATTTGTGTTCATGGCTTAAGAGTGGAATTGAGGGGCTGGAGAGATGGCTCAGAGGTTAAGAGCACTGGCTGCTCTTCCAGAGGTCCTGAGTTCAATTCCCAGGATTCCCTCATGGTGGTTCACAACCATCTATAATGAGATTTGGTGCCCTGCAGGCGTACACATAGGCGGGAACATAGTATACATAATAAGTAAATAAATCTTTAAGATGTATTTAATAAATAAATAAATAAATAAATAAATAAATCTTTAAGAATGGAATTGCGGGCTGGAGATATGGTTCAGTTAAGTGCTTACTGGGGAACATGGGGAACCCACATACAAAGCCACTGGCAATGATACATTCCTGTAATCCCATGATTGCAGGAAATCCCCAGGTTTGCTGGTCAGCCTGTTTAACTGAATTACAAAACTCCAGGTTCAGTAAGAGACCCTGCCTGAAAAAAATAAGATAGAGGGGACTCTTGATTAAGAACACTGGATGTTCTTCCCAGACTCAATTCCCAGCACCAACATGGAAATTTACAAACACCTGTAACTATAGTTCCAGGGGATCTGTGGTGCCATCTTCTAGACTCTGTGTGCACCATTGCACACACGTGATGCACACACACACACACATACACAAATGCACAAACATGCACAGTGGACTTGAGCTGCAGATGATGATACATACCATTCAGCAGTCAGGAGACTGAGGCAGGAAGATCATGAGTTTGTGGCTAGCTTAAGCTATTAGCAAACTCCAGGACAGCCTGAGCTACATAGTGAAACAAAATACAAAACAAAATAAAAACCAAGGAGTTGAGCAGTAGTATACAAAACTTAGGAGCTTCACCACAAGGCAGACGTGGAGTGAATCTCAGAGAACCCACAGTGTGGTCCTAGACAAATAAACTTCTCTCCCTGGGCCTTGGCTTTCTCATCCATAATGTGGGTACACTGGACCTCCTGAAGTGATTAGAAAGATTTGAAGACAACAGGTATAAATAGCCCAGGGGAAGGCATGGCATTTGGTAGGCTCTCAGAAAATGGGGGCCTTATCTTCTCTGTGAGTCGGTGAGGGCTGTCTCCATCTAAGCATCACTGGGGCTCATCACAGAGTTCAAGAAGTGTTGGCAGCATGCCCGACTGGCAGAAGGTGTAGACCTTGAGCCTCTGAGGACTGGACCCTGGCAGGCACATGTAGGAATTCATATATACCATCCAGTTTCCACTCTCTATCAAAAGGTCAGGTGGTTGGGAGGAGGGAAAGGAGCATCCCTTGAGCACCAATGAGCACCATCTCCCAGGAAACCCAGCCAGGAGCTACCATGGAAACCGCTGCTGTCACATGCGCTCGTCACTCTGGGCTCCAGAGAAAAATTCTCGGGATCTATTTAAGAACTAATAAAATAATGATGGTCTTGCTCACTCTCACTGACCCCACCCCAGCTCAGGCTTCTGCCCCTCTCCTTTCTACCAGGCTCTCCTCGCTCCCCCAAACCTGCTTTCTGCCCCCCATCCCCTCCTTTCCTTCCCATTCCCACCAATAATTCTCTTTCTTTGCCCCTTTCTAGGTCTGTCTCTCACTTTCTCCCACGGTTTCTGTCTTGCTGTGTTTCTCCATCACTCCCCATGTCTCTGCTCTCCATAGCTCTGTCTCTCGGTTTCTCCTCCACACTCACAGGTGGCCATGCCTAGGGACTGGTCCTGTCCTCCTGGTCCCTGGTCCAGGCCAGTCCAGACCTGTCCAGCTCGCCCTGATCTGCTTGGATTGATCTGTCATCCCCTCTAGACTACAACCTGAGTCCTGTCGGTGTCTCGGCCCCCACCCACAGCCTGGTACACTGCAGGTGCTCCACTACCAGAGGGTGGGTGTGTCAGAGCCTTGGGTGGGAGGGAGGATTACAATGGTTCAGGCTTGGCCTGTTTTCCTCTCCTTTTTTTTTTTAAACGAGTCTTCCTCACCGCTCCCACCCCAAAATTTGATCCAAAGAAATTGCTCAGCTGTGACTGCCTGGGTGTTACCATGGTTACTGGGTAGCACTTGTGGCTATGGTAACAGGAAGCTGCCTGTTGTCTCGGCAACGAGCACATTGGAAGGAATGGAGTGGCCCCTGATTGGTGCAGAAGCAGTACGTTTCCTGAAGGGAGGGGGTCAGATCATCACCTTCTCAGGCCAGATGGGCATCAGTTACCCCTTCCTCCAGGAACAGGAAGGCCGCTGTTCCTTCCTCCCGGCACTCAGCTGTCTGCCCCCAACATCAATCCCTCACATCCCACGCACCCAGCTCTTGGCAGTTTACCAAGACCTTCTGCACCCCCATTACCTCATGTGATCCCCACAACACCTATGAGAGGAAGGTGAGATGGGGATTCAATCATGAATTCACTTAGGGTGGTTGGGGGATGGGAAGGTGGGGGTATCTATTGAATCACCTAGGAGCTCTTTCAGGTTCTACAGTCCCCCATCTTAAGAATCTAATATGGTTCCCAGGTGATTTTTAACCACATCTGATCAGGGAACCCTTGGATTAAAAGGTGAAGCTGGCTGGAGGAGGGAACGGGTTGGAGGGAAAAGTTAAGCTGCTTTCTAGGTTTACAACCTGAGTGATGGAGGATGGAGTTTGGGTGGAAAGCCGAGCTCGGGTTCTGGTGTGTTGAGTGGGAAGTGCCAGTGGGCCTTTCTCGCCAGGATGCCCAGCGAGCAGCTGGAAACATGGGTCTGAGGCTCAGGAGAGAATGTGGGCAGGAGACGCAGAGGTCTGAGTCATCCCTCTGTGGATAGCTGTTGGGGCTGTGTGTGGGTGAAGCGATCCAAGAAGAACTGGAAGAGAGAGACAAGCAGGAAGAAAATGGTGCCTAGAGAAGCCTAGCGCTGTCAGGGAACGGGGTGCCCACGGGGGACGGAGGGGTGAGTGCAGAGACTATCACGACACAGACAGTTGGGAATGTTTCCCTGATTAGTACACGGGATTTGAGAGACAGTGGCTTACTTAAAATCCTACAACCCAGAAATGGCAGAGTTAGGGGTATATAGCACTAAGTCTGAGTCCCAGACTGTTTAATCTAAATAACACACAGCTATATTCTCAGCTTTAGACATAAACCACAAATGTGCTATAGCAATTACACCCTCCCACCCAATTCCTCTCACTCAAAGCATTTATGCAAGTCCAGGAGCCTGAGACACAGGCACCACATGGACCCTGAGGCCAAGACAGAAGGATTTCTTTGGTCACTACCTCCACCCTGTTTGCCACTGAGCTTCCTGCCATCCACTCCTTCAGGTTCCAGCACTTTCTAAACATCTGGGTTTAAGGAAGCAATCTTGGAGAGAATCTATAATCCCAATGGGAGTGGAGGGGTGCAGAGTGCAAAGGAGGCTGGTACTCAGAGCCTGAGGGTTTCAGTGGGAAGAAAGAACTAAGCCTTGGGACCAGGCAGTCATGCTAAATGGGTGTGTTGGTCCCGTGTCTTTCAGATGAGTCGTCCGATCCAAGTGAAGCCGGCTGCCAGTGAGGGCCGAGGAGGTAACTTCCCTGTCTGACAAACCTCAGAGTGGTACCTGAGTAGAGGATGGGTGGGCCCACCCCTGGAGTTAGTTCTCCGCCAGGGCTTATGACTAGACTCAGCCCAAGTCAGTGCAGTCTGGAATTGTGAGTCTCAAGAAATAGCTCAGCCATCCCAACTCAGACTGAGAAGGGAGAAATTCTAGAAAGCCCAGACCCAGATGTGGCAGAAAGGGCAGAAGCAGAGGAAGGGAGCTCTTGCTGCCTCACTCCTGGAGAACAGCCGGCACTACGCTGCTGAGTAGAATTTATAGGTGCATAGAAGAGGCAAACTGAGGTTGTTCTCCTTTTTCAGATCCCTCCGGGTTCACAGAAGGGACCACTCATTCTTTTCCCATCATGGCCTGATTAATCTCCATAAAAGATGAGCTGGCCCAACAGGTATTGTTAGCATAGTAAGGATCTGTGTACTGAAGCTCACAGAAGTCTTTAGACATCCTTGGCTGCACTGTCTCCTGGTAGAGAGACCGCTGCTTCTTAAGAGTGCTGAGGAGCCCTCATAGCTGTGGTCTAGCCAGCTTCCCTGCTACAAAAGTGGAGCTGGACTTCTTGAGTCAGTGCTTGGTGTCTTTCTTGCCCTTGGGTCTTAGATTATCCCAGGGAGTCTGCCTACAGCCCTCCTTGGTATCTGCTGACTCTCCCACTCTGGCAAGACAGACTTTCCGTCTGTCTCACCCAAGAGCAGTCATTGCTTTGTTATGTGATCGCCTAAGATTTAGGAGAGAATAGAATTCAGCTGATAGAGATGTGTATTAACAGCCCACAAAGTCCTTCACACCCTCCGTTGATTTCCTGTCTACATTCACTGGGGGCTTTGGTGGCATCAGGGTTCTGTTTGGTTCCCAATAAATATTCCTTCCTCCCTTTAGATTTTCTGACATTTGTCTTTGATTCATAATCTATGGTCAAGATATTATCAGCCCCGCATTGCCTTGGAGAGATCTGTCTAGATTCCTTTCCCAGCCCCGCATTGCCTTGGAGAGATCTGTCTAGATTCCTTTCCTTTTTCCATGAACGTCTATCTTTGTCATCTCACTCTTTCCAGACAAGCATTTCAGATGTTCCAGCTGCATACAGAGCATGCAGAACATTGGGAAGCTCTGGTAGGAATCAAGGCCATTGTTGGCCATATTCTAAACTTTACCCAGCTCACATACCTAAGACAGTCTCACAAGTCACCTATGAGTGTATGAGTGAGCTGAAAAACAAATAGGATGCGCTGTGTAGGTCACTCAAATATCCCATCACTGTGTTCTAAGTTACTTCACCTTGGGAATACAGAAGTCTGGCAGACCTGGCCCCACAGAGCCCCCAGATTACGAGGGGACAGGTGGGGAAGCAAACAAGAGGTCACTATTCAGTGTGAATGGTGTTTCTCAAGGGAAAGTCTAGGATGGGACTGTGGAGACACAAATAAGGGGTGAATAACCTGCGCTAGGAGGTCACAGAGAGCTCCCAGAGGCAGTAACATTTAAAATGGCTTCAAAAGGCGACAGAAAGTAGTCAGATAGAGAAACGAGGAGAGAGGGAGAGTATTCCTCGGGCACAGGGAAGGGCATGTTCTGGGGACCCACACTCAGCAGGACATGGTACGACTTGGAATCTTGCTCAGTAATTGCTCCATGTTCTGAGGTACTCATGGTATATACGGTCCTCCACATCCCATCAGATCTCAGCAGGTGGCTGTTCAGAGGGTGCCTCCATGTCAATAACACCTGCCCCAGGCCCCATGGCATCAGCTCGGGTATTAACATCTTCTCCTTCCTCTTTTTGGACAAATATTGCAGGTGTCACATCACCACAAATCCTATCCATGAAGCATCTCACCCGTCCACCTGGTCATGTTCAGAGTAGTTCAGGGGCAGGACAAGAAGTCTGCCTGAAAAGAGGGCTGCCTAATAGGCGAATTTATTACTTCAGGAGTTTTATGTTACACAGATTTTTCTTGACAAGCGATAGTTTTCAGGACTATGCATTCCAAGCACATCCCTGAATAATCCTCGCAAATGTGCATGACCAGATCTCTCAGTGCCTCCGTGCGTATTCAGGAGAGGAGTAAGTGTAGTAAGTCTTGTAAAGCAGTCAGGCCGTTGTTGTTTATAAATATCTTATCTGCCGACTGATCTGTGTTCTATAATCTTGTGACTAATCAAAATGAGTTGCTTTTCTTCAAGGCCGTCACCTATCTCTTCTAAATTGAAGAAATGACTTCGTGTGTGTGTGTCTATGTGTCTAGCTTGGAGCTAGAGCTGTAGATGTTTGTGAGCTGCCCCCTGCGGGGGAGGGGGTTGGACTGGCCTTCTGGGCCTCTGGTAAAGCAGTAAGCCCTGTAACAGCTCGGTCATCTTTTCAGCCCCCCCACACCTCTGCTAGATTTGATAATTTTTTTGTTTTCTTGTTTGTTTGCTTGCTTTTGTTTTTGGAAACAGGGTTTCTCTGTGTAGCAGTTCTGGCTGTCCTGGAATTCAGTTTGTAAACCAGGCTGGTCTCGAACTCAAAGAGATCCACTTGCCTCTGCCTCCCGAGTGCTGGGATTTTGATATTGAATTTTAATGCTAATATGTGAGAAGCTCAGTTTTGTTGGTTTTTGAGACAGGGTCTCACTGTGTAGCTTTGGCTGTCTTTGAATTCAGAGAGCCGTCTGCTTCTGCCTCCCAGGTGTTGGTATTAAAGGCGTACAACACTGTGCCTGGCTGAGGAGCTCAATTTTTAAAGATGATTTTTAATATCTTACCTTTGAAATGTAATAAACGACACCAACATGGAACAATCTATACCATTAAAGTGTTATTTCAGTGAACTCAAATATTCTATAAACTTGATTACACCTGTTCTTGTGTTCCTAGCTGGTGAGGCTGCATAGTGTTATTATTGCTTGAGTTGAAGTCTTGAGTTTACAGCTGATTACTAATCGTTTTTGTGTCTGAGAAAGACACTTGTGTCAATGAAACCTTAATTTAAAGGACATCAAGGCTGCTGATGCCTGTAATCTCAGAATTTAGGAGGCTAAAGCAAGAGAATTGCCATGGGTTTGAGGCTACCATGTGCTACATAGAAAGATTCAGATCAGCTTGGATTATAGTGTGAGATCCTGTTTCAAAAACAAAACCAATTTTTTTTTTAAAGACGTTGGTGCAGGTGAGGTAATTCAACAAGTAAAAACCCTTGTTGCTAAGCCTGGCGTCCTGAAATTAATCTCTGGGACCTACATGGTGGAAAAGGCAAATGATTCTCACAAATTGTCCTCTTACCTCCACATCCAAGCCATGGCATGTGATCTTCCATGCACACACAAATAAATAATAGAATGTAACCTACAAATATATCAAGACAAATATAATCTAAAAGTCTCCCATTTATCTTCTGAAAGAAATCATTACATGATTTTTTTTCCTCATAAAACAGGGGTCAGAAACTAACCTCAGGAGCCCAGGAAGGTAACCATACAACTTAATACAAAATTTACATCTTAATTATTTAAACGGAAGTTACTTCAGCCTTTTGTTAGGTGCACTGTGAGAGCGCAGAGAAACCCATCGGGTTGACTCCTTGGGCACCTGAACTGCGGTTCTCCCATCATCCATACAGAAATAGAAAATGAGTCTTTTAACAAAAATAGTGGTGTTCTGGTTTGGAAGTCTGATGACAATGCACTGTGTTCTTTTAATCAATAAACATGAAGTCTGTGGTAGTAAGAACCAATGTACACACTAATGTCCTTTTAGAAGGTGCTGGTATCACTGGAGATTTTGTGCTTCTGTGGTGTGTGTGTGTGTGCGCGCGCGTGCGCACGTGCATGCATGTGTGCTGGTGTATATGAGTATGCATATATGTGGGAAGGGATGTGGAATCCAGATGTCAGTATCAAGTGTCATTCCTCAGTAGCTGTCTCCCTTGTTTGAGACAGATTTCTCACTGGAACCCGAGGCTCACCCCATTTGTCTAGGCTGTTTGGCCAGGGATTTTTTCATCTCTGCCTCCCCAGTACAGGGATTGCAAGTATGCATCGCCATGTCTGTCCTCTTACATGGGTTCTAAGGATTGAATTTAGGTCCGCATTCTTGTAGAGCAAGCACTATCCTGACTGAACCATCTTCCCAGCCTCAGAACTTGGTTTCAACGTCTACAAACCGATAATGATAACAGTACAGCAGGATCTGCCTAATGAAGGTACTAGGATCCTCCTCCTTCACAGCTGTCCCTTGCATGCTTACGGACACTTTTCTCAAAGATATGCATCCACATCTTCATAGACTACATTATTTTAATGTATCCTGGTTAGGTCTTATGAATTTGCAGCTAAGTTCCATGGTGTTCAGAGGGTCCATACCCTGTGTCTCTGCTTTCCATCTGGTAGCAGTTACACATCAAACAGGATGCTTTTTTTTGTCTCTGATAATTTTATTTATTTATTTTTTTCCATTCAATTATTTGCACTTCCTTTCCTCCTCCCAATCCCCTCCTGCTCCCCCACAACCCCTCCTCCCTCTCCCACACTGCTTGAGAGAGGGCAGGAAACCCTGCTCTGTGGGAAGTCCAAGGCCCTCCCCACTACATCCAGGCCTAGGGAGCTGTGCATCCATATAGACCAGGGTCCCAAAAAGCCAGAACATGCCATAAAAACAAGTCCCAGTGCCTTTATCAATGGCTTCAAACAGGATACTATTAAAGGAAAATATATGAAAATATATTGAGTTCCCTAGAAGGAAGCCGTCTCCTAACAAATGGAGAGGATTCATTTCTGCAGTGGCCATGCACGGCATCAAAACTTTTCCTCCAGCATTTGGATTCATTTTTTAATTCATTTATTTTGATTTTATGTGCATTGGTGCTTTTGCCTTCATGTATGTCTGTGGGAGGATTCCAGATCCCCTGGAACTGGAGTTACAGACAATTGTGAGCTGTGGGTGCTCACAGAAGACTTGAATCTAGGTCTTCTGGAAGAACAGTCAGTGCTCCTA